AGACTATAGTAGACATATTCTTAATAAATATAAATTACGCGTCACGTTGTTTGTCCGCTATGGACTCCTAAACTACTTAACCGATTTCAATCAATCTTGCACACCGTGTGCAGTTTGATCTAACTTAAAAGATACGATAGCTTACATCTTAATTTATACGCACAATATTATTTTATTGCAAATTATTTGAGAGTCACACTTCTAACAGATGGCGCTGTGTTGAAAGTACCAACGTTTCACATAAGCTACAATTTAATGGCATAACCACCAAAAAAGCATGGTGGTCCCCATGACTGGTGTTCTTCTACCGTTTCCCTTGAATAGTTTATTACTATGTATAACAAAAACCTTAGCCACAGCAACGCTTGGCCGAGTCTGCCAGTACATACCCATTTCGTACCATGCCCCACCTTAGGCTTTCTGAAATTCTCATGCCTCCGAATTAAAAAATTTAATTGTTCACTTAAGAAACTCAAATGATAGGTTTTAGAAAGAAAGGACTAGGATATTTTTAACAAAACAGTAAACTTAAAAAAAATCAGTGGCAATACAACCACTGTGGGTCAGGTCATCAGATTTTTGAATCTGTTTCATGATAATTTTTAAATCTAATAGGCAAGTAGGTGATCAGCCTCCTGCGCCTGACACACGCCATCGACTATTTGTGTCTAAGACGGTTCCTCACGTTGTTTTTCTTCACCGTTCGAGTGAATGTTAAATCCGGAAAAAAGAAAGTCCATTGGTTCACAGCCGGGGATCGAACTTACGACTTCAGAGATGAGAGTCGCAAGCTGAAGCCACTAGGCCAACACTGCTCACAAGCAAATTTTAAAAATATATTGAAAAACAGCAATTCAAATTCCAAATAATTTTCGTACATCCCCCCTTAACAACCGAATTGCCCCAACTCCCCCCGTGGGGCCCCACGTTGGGAAACACTGAGCAAGTATCTTAGTCTTTACTGGCGAACGACGCATGACACTGACATTTCCCACTTTGAGAAGTGAATGGACTATTACCATCAAAAAAATAATATAGCCAATATATATATTTACAATTCATGAACCAAGTGTTAACTTCAGCTGTCAATGTCATCTACCATCGGACAAGGAAAGTAAGTGACATGGAATTTTAAATTAAAATTGTTACTCCTAGCAACATTATTTAGACCCTACGCCTAAAAAAAACTTATAAATTATACATACTATATGCAGATATATTTCGTATAATCTGGTAAATTATAATAATCATATAACTTGAATGTATGTAACAGAGACATATCCACTTCATCTCACTGGGATGGTTCACAATTTCAAGTGTACTGTATAACACTGGAACTATTAAAAAATTACATCTGATAAATGCTACACAATGATACAGTACAGATATAGGAGAAACAGATTTATTGCATAGTACCATTAACTACAAAAATGGGCATTATATAGAAATCCAGACAGTCAGTTAAATTATTAAGGATTCTTAAAATCACAACTGCGAGAAACTTATAATAATGTAAACTAACAATAAATTTGAATGCCAAAACTATTAAACAATTTACATGTAAGTAGAACCTAATTACCATAAAAAATCCATGAATTGTCTTGTTATAGTTGTCATAATAGCTATTCTCCGTACAATTATTTACTGATAAATTTGCTATCAACTTCAATCTCGCCAACACTTTACCTTGCCTCTAGTAGGCATCTCATAATAATTAGGCCGCTGTAATTTCTTATTGAAAAAAGTTTTGAAGTGTTGTTCATTGTTTTAACATACCCTAACATTGTAAGCTGACCTGACTTGCATTTGTTAAGATATTTTTAAGCTTATTCTTCAGTGACCAGACTTAAAATAGTGTCTTTATATAGAGGGATCAAATTCAGGATCTTCGAGTTATGTACCACAAAGGCGGTATCTGCAAAAGTAATATATCCTTTCTCATAACTTTATCGATAGTATAATTTATTGATTCAATTAGCAGACTCGACTCTGGTCCCTTTTGGATTATACCCTAAATTAATCACTAACTTATGAAAGTTGTCTAAAGAGTTGTATAGAAGGTATTAAAATTTATCATACAATAAATTTTGTGCTAAATTAATTTTAATTGTACTTTAATTAACATATCATTATAAATTCAGTATTATTGTTAAACAAGTTAAATTATTATGTATATATGGTAATTGCGAGTAATAAATTTTAAAATTTTGAAAAATATTTTCTTTTTGACTTAAACAACTTTTTTTGTTACACGACATTTAATAATAATGGGCAATAAAATTGACAAGATTTTCAAATTCGACAAAAAAATTAATTTTGTATGCATGATGATAGGATTTATATTCAAATTAGTTTTTTTGAATTTGATAAAATTCAAATATGGTTTTTGCATAATTTGGAGCTTGGTGTCCACAACAAGGCCATTGAGACTTAGTTGTACCTATTTTTAAATAGATATTCAAATTTGCGTTATAATTTAAGTAATTCATAATAAATACGTATTGTTGTCCTTTATAATAATGTCAGAAATGGTATAATAAAAATAAACATGATAGATTTTACGTATTCTATCATTATACTGTGTTTTATAATAATTAATTAATTAACAGTTCACGATCAACAGATATCGTTTCTATAATTTAAAAATAGAACAGAGATTGTGACAAGCAAAGTAGTTAATCATTTTCGTCGAAATTGTCCAATTGTTTGAGTCGTTAAATAAACAAGTAAAGGACTTTGACCTCGTTTTGTCTAGTTTTTGGTTTTCTGATAACTAGTAAACGGATGTAAATACTTACAAGTTATTTATGAATGTCAGTCCAATCGCGATGCATCGACGATAGAATCGGCATCCGTGCACACAAAAACAGAAAACATAAACTTTCACAACAGGAATGTGTTACACAAAATAGTAAAAAACAACATTAAACACTATTAAAATCACTGTCACATTGTTTCTTCACTCGCTAACCCATATTCTAACACGGTATTCGTCACTAATAAACCAAAATTAGCAATTTACTAAACCAACGTCTGAGCTAGTCGAGGTAACACAATTATTTTCGAAAGCTAGACACCCGATAGACCTTTCGAAAAAGTACAATAAATGTTGCGCTAAATACGAAAATCGATAAGGTCGTAACGCCGCTGGATCGAAACTAGAATAATTTATCAAAAAATGTAATAAAAACGACATTATTCTTAAAGAGTTGTGGTGGTTCCGAACTGTCAGAATTTTCTATGATAACCGGCCGATTTGAAACGTCAAACTGTGATGATGTTAGATTTAATAGATGCGCATTTTTAAATTGGTAGGGTTGTTTAATCTAGCGGCATGCGAATTGCGACCTTATCGACGTGGAGACTTTCATATTTGGCGCAATTTGCAAAAAATGCATGAATGCAAACGAATTAGTTTGCAAAACTTACAAGTGTTAATACATTGGATATTGGAAAATTACTAATTAATCTACGCGGGCGCGGTATGACCGTACACAGAAACGCGGCACACTGTTTTCGAATTTTGCCTCGACGTAATTTTTGGCGTATTTTGAGTTGGGACGGGAAAACTCGAAAACCATTCGGATGCGTGAAAGAGACAGAGAATGTCTCGCTGTGAAGAAAACTAGATCTTACGGCCCTGGGCCTTAGTACTTTACAGTTTCACTTTCCCATCAAGAAATATGAAGCCATATTTTGAAGTTTTTTCTATATCTAGTACATGGTTGATAGAACGGCTGTTTTTCTATGTAAACGTGTGGTAGTGTGCGTGGCTTCCCGTATATGTAGGTTTAGTTGTGTGTGTTTTTATTACATAAAAAATGTGTGTAGTCACTGACTTGGAATCAATAATGTAAAAATTAATTTTTATCATAGTCATGCAATGCTCCCTTCGAGGTTCGATTTTCTCGATAGAAAATAGAAACTGACCATGTCGGAACGTAATTCGTTTTGCTTTTTATGCGTTTTTGTAATTGTTAGGTTTTTATAAATGATGCGATTCGGAATTTATTACACATATATTAGCGATGGTTCATTGAACCAAATAGTTTCGTTAAACGGTATTATTTAACTGTTTACATAAAGTTTTGCTAAACATTTTGTTTTTTAACTTATTTGATACCGAAGTTTCCTATACATTTTGACATTTGACATTTAACAAAAAAAAAAATGTGCCGTATTTCACGTTACCTAGCTATATAGACAAACAATAAATATTTTCAATATTAATCTAAACCATTGAAAATTGCTTTTCGTTTTAAAGCTGATTTAAAACAAACTTGACGCTCGTGTATATTACCCTTATTCGTTATATTATTTATTGCTTCAAGTTTCACGTTCGGCATTCTAAGAAAAATGTTATTCGCAGTAATTGTATGCCCCAAACGGGGCACACATTCATGATCTGCTTTCCTTGCAGGCATAAGTGACTGAATAACAATTTCTTTAGTCGTAAAATTTAATAAATTAGTGTCGCTATAACCCTACACAGACTTTGGGCCACAATCCCACCTGATGTTAAGTGAGATGTACCCTATTGGAGGGCACTCCTATCTAGGAGATGTCTATTTAACCGCCACTTAAATGAACCCTATACCGTTCTGTCTGACATATGTCAAAGCGGATGACATGACCAACGAAGATTGTCTTTATCGAAGTCTGGCAGTGTCTAAGTGTCTATGGACATGCTATCACTCATCAGGCGGTCCGGCCCTTTTGCCACCTGGTCTATTAAAAATTGAAGTGTTACCGGAACCTATGACTGCCGTATGTCAAAATCTAATACATACTTGACGTATAGGAGTTCTACTTAGCCTCTACTTAAACCTTTTCCCTAACTTTGCTGTTTAATAAAGTTTCTATTGACATCAATCACAATCAAGCGACATAAACAATTGGCGCTTACAATCACTACGATGACGTCACACGTTAAAACGCGGTGACGAAGTATTTCCAACTAATAATATATACCTACAGCTTCTCGATAACCACTGGGGCGGATGGAGTCCTTCGATGAGTTCGTCGCAAGACTCGTGAAGAGGATGTTTGATCAAGCAGACGGCTCTCAAAGTCTCAACATCTTTACACGCTCTTCTCCGCGGGCACCGATGATACCAGTGCAGGAGCCAGGAACCGCGGCTTCCACCGCTCTCTTCTTCGGCTTCACCCGGCGGGGTTAGACCGCGAGTCTGCCCGCTACCACGGATTATGACCAGGTACAAGTCGAGAACTCCTTGGCCCCTCACCACCGGATTGACACCCCGGACATGACCCCTACCTCGGCTACGCGCAGCGATTAGAGCCCATGTCTTAGTGGGCGCTGCAGCGCCCACCAAGGGCTATAGAGCCCGCCCCCGTACCGCTCTGTATCAGCAGCATACATGAAAACACAACCCGTTGAAAGTGTGCAGCAATAACCACTGGAGCCTGTCCAGTCAGTGGTTAGACTGGTCCAGGATCATTTTTAAGGCACAGGAACAGTCCACCTTCCTTCCTATAACTATTGTTGAAGAGGTCACAAAAAGTACTGCGTTTCATTAGGATAGCTATTTTGCCTTGCGGGCCTGGTATGTTACATGTAATTCAAATAATAGAGAAAGATGAGAAAATCATGGGACCCAGTTCTCACTAACGGTTCAAGGCGATTGTATTATGTTTTAACTACAGCCTATTAAGAATATTTCTGAATAAACAAGATTTTGTCTTGTATTCGTAAACAAATTAGCGGTACTTATCGGGGCGTTCAAACATACAGATAAACTTAATAATATATGAAATATAACTTTTTAGTTGGAGCTGGAAACAATAAATACAGTTGACATGAAGAAATGTGAATGCGTAATTAATGTATTAATGCAGTCTAATTAAAAGTATTAGAGACTGTTGAGGATTGACTATAAAGCAGGTGCGTAATTTCTGTATTTTTTCCGAATTTTAAGTAACTTTTTTCTTAATTAGTAGTCAAATGAGCGTATTTTATGTTAATAAAAATATTATGAATAGTTTTACAGTTATAAATGAATAAACATTGCATACTTAGGTATAGCTTAGAAACTTTTTACAGCCGTCTGGCAGAGGCGAAGACGCTGGCCGTCTAGAAAAAATAAAAAGGCCAAGGGTGAGGGGAACGAGGTATTTCCTTGAACGCCATTTCGAAAATCGATCAAGCGGCGCGTGTGTGGACCGTTTTGAATTTCGAATGTCTATAAAATTTGAATTCATTAAATATGGTAAAATGAACTTTATGGGTTAAGCAAAGGGTTGAATTTTATTTGTAGAGCTTGTATGTGTGTGTGAACACATGGATAGAACCAAAATATGATATGAGGTCGGCTTCCGCCAAAATAGATTTTACAGAATTGGTAATGAATTTATAGATAGCTTCTATAAACAGTAACATAACCATAGACACGTGTTAGGGAATTAGTATCTATATATTTTTAAATAAAACATGAATTTCATAGACTATATTTCGAATTATCTGTTGTAATAAAAAACAAAACTGTATTTTATATGAAAAATGTAAAAGCGTATTTGATTTAGCGGTCGAAGCGTCAAACTAAAGCAAATTCTTGATTTTTATAAAACGCTATTAATACCTGTGTTAATTTATTGAAATGGCTGACGCATATTAAATATGAATTTAAATTTATACTCCAATACTCTGTAATTTATGCATTATCGATAAACCGATACTGACATTTTACGTCTAGGGTGTGTGCATTGTGTGTGATAGACATTGTTTCGGATTTACAATAAAACTGTGAATCTGTGATGAACAATGACGCTATGGAAATTTTCAGCAAAGTGGAGACCTTTCGCCGAGTCATTTTACAAACCTTGCCATGTTTATTTGCTATTATTGTTTATTCCTGGCATTGAGAGTATCGATGTGTCACTTAACAATTAGGTGATCCTCCTGCGCGTTTGCCCCCTGTTCTATATGAAAGAAAAATATAATATTAAAAAAAGAATTTTGGAGTGAAACTTCTTAAGCGCATGAGGGTAAATTTTTAGGAGGAGAGAGAGTGAGAAGGGCGAATTACCTTATAGAAATTATATTTTTAAAATTAAAATTTCGTCAAGAGAATTTATCAAATATTAGTAAGTATATTTATTGAAATCTCAAATGACGAATTGTAAATTAAAATGCCACGTGTTTTTATTATCGAAGAAATAAATTAAAAAAAAATATATAATTTGTATTAATTTTCGACACTTAATATTTTAATGACAATTAAATTCCTAACATATCTTCCATTTTCCCTCCCTCTAAGTCTCGGAAATCTAAAGTTTTAGATTTGTATAAATATGAACAAGAGTTAAAAATTAGTTTGCCAAAGAAGTTTCACTTCTGACATGTATAAAGTACACAGTAGGCACGCACCATTTTTTGTAAGAATTTCGTTTTATGAAAAAATATATTTTCTCTAAATCTTTCATTATTTAAACACTAATTTATTAACAAAACTTACTATTCTTGCTTACTTTGGTCATTTCGCCTTCGCGAACCAGAAAACCAGGACAAGCTCTTTGTCGTCGACCAGGTGAAAGGCAAAAGGCTGCGGGGATCGCTAACCCGCTTTGACCAAGTCAGGGTCCTATCGGGTCTCCCCTTAACAGCTGCGTTAAGGGAAGAGACCGATATCTCTAGCAGACACAGCGACACGACCTTCAATGAAGTCAAACTTTAATGACGTAAGTGTTGTCAACAAATGCACTGCAGCGACCTCAAAACCCACCTTTCATTCCATACTTTCATTATGGTTTTATGTTAATTGTCTGAAATATCGTTGAGGAGGCGATATCCACGCGGGCAATATTGCAGGCTTAAGCTAGTACCTAATATAATATATTCTTATTTACTACTAGTACTTGTATAGAAAATATCAAATAGTTCTTATAAGCAAGATAAAAATAACTAATACCAGCTGCTCAAAACTTTTAACTTTCTATAATCTATAGTGGGTGATAAGAAAAAACAATAAAATAAAACATATCTGCGTCTATTCTATAGGCGTGTCGTCTAGGCCCACGTTTTTATTACCTATATACATATTTGAATAAACAAAAACAAGAGATTACGCGCGTTTTTAAAATATTTTTTTTTTTATTTGTTCGCGCGATTATTTTGACGGCCAGTTTGAAACAACAATCAATTTCTTTAGTCATTGAAACATACTAACAATGAATAAAATCTTTAAAAAAAACAATGGCATTCCAAATTCAAATCACCTACATAAATCTTATAAATGGATTTAATAAAAAAGTTTAACATAACACGTTCCAAATTCAAAACAAGATTTTAAAACAAAAACACTTTTGTCTAACAGTATGGTATTACGATTAATTTGATATAAACAAAAAATTGGCGGGAAATCGATACATAACGGGTTCCATATTTGAAATAAGGACTTTATACTAAAAGTTTTTGCTTTTTATTTATGGACTAGTTACAAAATAATGAGTTTAGTCTTGTTAGTATTATAATTCTTTTTCAGGTGGAGCAGCGCCAATCATTTATACCAATTGAAAGTGAAGGTTCATTATGAATTCCTTATTACCCTAATTTGTTATAAATAATTCTTTAATTGGTTTAATTTCGTCGCCATACACACATTGATGCAATTGATAACAGGGTACACAAGTAAGTTTAAGTGGTTCTTAAAATAACTTAAGGATTTTATAGACGAACGTCTTTAACGCGACGAAACCCTTCTGCAGAGATCCGGCAGACCCTGTATTGTCTTTGACATAAAATTATCATAGACACAGATGCAATATCAATGTTTTAAGCGCTATTGATTATTATCTATACCATAGAACTAAAACTCCTCTATTTCAACAATTCCCTCCAGCAAGGAACTTTTTCAAAAATATTTTAAAATACATTCAGCCGGGAGTTATGAAACCTAACATTAGTTAAGTTACTATATATATATATATATATATATATATATATTTGTAGGGCACTAGTGTAAATAGTTACCCAACACACACGGTTATTCCAGCTGCAGAGCGTGGACTGTATATTAATTGTTTCCAGGTGAGGTCAGGCGTAGAAAAAACACTTATTTTTTAGTTATTAACACACCACTTTATTTGAGCACAAGTTACAAGCACGAATGGAAGCGGAAGCAAATTAAAACCATAGACATATATATATATGAAGAGAAATTACAGATAACAAAAATAAACTATATCAATCGAATCATAGATACTATATTATGTTGCCAACAATATTTTAGTTATTAATTAGAAGCATTAACCAAATGTTAGCAATTATCGCATACTTGAAGCCAAAGCCCTTTAGTTTTTCCCACACACGTAAATTGTAATTGTGTGTAACATTCTCGTTTCCGATAATGTCCAATAATCTCAATTGGTTTAGGAAGTCTTCAATGAGTCAAGTTTGTTTTTTGTTAGCGTCACAACCCCACTAACCCCCTATATCTTTGTTCGTTATCTAGCTTTCAAACAAAGTGTTTCATTTTAGTATCTGAACATATACAACAATCGCCACCGAACTTAACTCTTTTTCTCTTAAACTTATTTCTATAGAAAATTAAAAGAAATTTAAAAAGTTTAGTCCCTGTGGCAGCTTTAATGCTGGCAGTTCTTCGATGTATTGCGATACTTATTCGTTGAGGAAACCAGCTGTGGGGGTCACCGGTACTATCTACTAGGTGCCAACTTAATTCTTTAATTAGCGCCCGTGAGTCTCCAAAGAGAACAAAATCGAATTTGGAGGAAAGTCCATATTTGAGTTTCATCTATTGGCTAATCGGGGTTTCTCAGCAGCACTCCCAAAGTTGCACGTTAGAGGTCTTTAGTAGATGCACAGAATACGGCGAAGACAGCGGTTGACTTGCGGTGCGAGATGTATTTGATAAACACGCTCGTGTATAAAACGCCTTACAGAAAGTAAGTCACGAGGCTTTTTTTGGACTATACCGTTGTCGCAATATAAATATAGATTTTTATTTTTAGTCTTAATTATTCCGATCAGTTGCGCCATACTTGTTTTGTTTTTATATTGAGTAATAAAACAGCGAACATAAAAAAATTAATTACAGAGGCACTTCCACACGAGTTTCATTCTTACCTTGCTCAAAACTTTCCCCATTGATTCATTGAAATGCCATTAATGCAGCCCTGCGATTCTGTAACTCACTTTTCGAACTCACACAGCGGTTTTCGCATTGGCGGTCGCTCTCAAATCAGTCGTGAAGCAGTCATTTTCTGATTTGGCATTCTGAAAAGGTGGGAGCTTGTAGTTTATTGTTTTTCAGAATGCCAAATCATAAAATGACTGCTTCACGACTGATTTGAGAGCGACCGCCAATGCGAAAACCGCTGTGTGAGTTCGAAAAGTGAGTTACAGAATCGCAAGGCTGCACCCAAAACACCGCAGTTGCTTTTGAATAGACATCATCTTCTGACCCATGGTTATAAAAAAAGATCGTGCGTACAAAGTACACAAGTCAGAAGTGAAACTTCTTTGTAAAGTAATTATTACTCAGGTATATATGTATATAGATGATCATGTACCAGTATATGATCACTCCATGTATTTGTATATCTATATTCACACTATTTACGCACTGTATACGTGCTAATGATAATATAAATAAATAAAAAATCTGCGTTTACAGCACAAGACGTTATGCGACAGAATTGCCATCGATCTCCCTTACTCTCTCTCTCAATCTTTCTCACTATAGCTCTCTCCCACCTCTCGCTCCATGGCACTGTGCGTGATGTGACGTTCACTCTTATCTCACTATTATATATATACACTCACACGCTATTTGCTTCATGCTACTTTCGCCCTTTCTCACTCTCTCTCCATCGGTCTCAATCGCTCTCTCCCTTTTCTTCGACAAAAACGCTGCACATCTTCGTGACGTTCCGTGACGACGGGTTGCGCGATAGCGTACATAAGTTTTAAGCTGCAAAAAAGTGCGTGCGTACCAAGTACACATCAGTCTTTCTATATTAATGAATAATAAGGCTAATTAAAAACCAGAACTAAAATAAGTTGTTGTTATGTATATAGAAATACCACCATAAATATGGTAACAATTACCAAATGATATAACAAATTAATTATTATCATAATTGCTAACTTATGTCCACATTTTCTAAAATAGCCAACTGGGTCTTAGCAAAAAAGGGCTTGGTTCTGTGCCTTTATAAAAATACAAAACCAACAAAAAATTGTAATTTAGTTACTTAATAGAATAATAATGATATGTATTAAAAACAACATCGGTGTTCAAGTCTCAATCGCTCTCTCTCTTTTCTTCGACAAAAACGCCGCACATCTTCAAAATTATATAAGCTTAATACAAAAAAAAAGGGTGCGTGTACTTATGTACGCGCGTAAGAAGTTATACTTCTTTGGCAATATTAAAAATAGTTTGGCTTTGTTCCACCTCCAGTTTTTGATGTTTCACAGCGATAAGATGAAAACTCTTTTTTTGTATTCAATTTAGTGCAGTTACACTGATTCATCAATTGTTTTTTGTCTCTTTTCCTTATATTTGCTAGAGAAAAATTACATGTTTTGATTAAACAATGTGGTTAATTTTTTAATCAAAACATTACTCGATAATAATAATAATACATACGGATAGTTAACCTCAATTGTATTGAAGCACTTAGGAAGGTTGATGAGCACAGTTTTTTCACAAATATTAATTAGTATTGGTTTAAATATTCAATTTAAATCACTTCTGATTATAATTCAAAAAGCATCGCTAAATTTCTTTGAAAAAATAATTAAAACTCCTTTATTTGTTTAAAAGGTAAATGACAAATGTCATTATGGTCATTCAAAATTGTTGGCATACGAACTTCACGCATATTCTATTTCTTTTTACTTGTAGATTGTCTTATTCCCATCTCGCTCGCGCACGCTATAATCACACTCCTAATTTTGTGTCACGGTGCGCGCGCATCGTAAAATTTCACTCTCATCAATTTTTCATAACGCGCCTAAAGAAGTATAACTTCAAAAAAAGCATTATAAAACAAACTAAAAACTAAAAAGCTAATCATAATTAGTATAATTATTTTTGTTATATAATTAAGTTCGCTGCAGGAGAACGAAATAAATAAATACTGGCCTCGATGCATTGCGGTACGTATAATATTACGTATGCAGAAATACTGCAATTTATCTCCCCCCTCCTCTTGTCAGCAAAAGTAAGCAAAGTTCTCAAAAATAATTGTACATAAAAGTTTTAATTTTTTGTAGGAATCCTCGAAAATGCATTTCGTTATCAAGCATAGACAATGTGTGGGTAATATGTGTAAAAAAGTAAATGATTACTGTTGACGTAATCAGCAAATGAGAAAATCAAAAATCTTTTAATTCAGATACCACCATGTGGAACCATCTGAAGTATTTCCGAACCAATTCGAATTAGGGTCCTTCAAGAAAAGAGCGTACCAAATCTTTAAAGGCCGGCAACGCACTTGCGAGCCTACTGGCAATGTGTGTCCGGCGGCGGTATCACTTAACATCAGATGAGCCTTCAGCCCGTTTGTCTATCACGTTTCTATTTCGATCTTCTCTTAGGTATCTGTGGTCCCTTTTTTGGCAAAGGTTTTTTCCAAATCAACCCATTCCTGTCTGCACCTTCTGTTTCATTAAATCTTAATATATATAAATTACGTGTCACGTTGT